TAACCGACTCTCGGTTATTGGTAAGGCATGTGGTCTACCGTAGGCTACTAGTAGTTAATTTTGGTTGAGTCAAACATTGTATGAAGATTTTCGACTATGCAGGGTGCCCCTAACCCCCATGTTGTTCAAAGGTCAACTGTATTTTACAGTGGAGAAACTCATTAGACTCGACCTGAACCAGGTGATAAAGGTCATGCTAATATCATGTGCCCCTGACACGATGTGATGAGAAGGGCCCTTTGCCTCTAAGGTATTCTTACCCCAAACCCACAATCCAGTATAATCAAGACAAAACATCAAGCACCCAAAGTGAGTGACATTCTGCAAATTATCTGTTTGGTATTCTTCGGAACTTTCAAGGCCACAAGAACGGGTAAAGAAATCCCGCAGATCGGAGGCGACTACGGAGGCAGGACAACATGATGCGTCGAGGTGCCCGGTGTGATCCTGGGACAGAAAGAGCGCAGAAGTGGAAAACCTGGCGAAATCCAAATAAAGCCTGTGGTTCAGCTAATAATGTTGCACCAAGCTGCTGAGTTTCTTAGTCCTAACACGATTTTGTTAGATGTTAACATTAAAGGAAGCTGAGTGAAAACTCTGTTTTCTAGCTTTATAACTCTTCTGTAAATCTAACATTACTCAAAAGTAATTTTAAAAAGTGAAATGAAATAGACAACCCAATAGGTCCATATTCATAAAAGAAATTGAATCAATAATTAATAACATTCCAAAATGGAAAGCGCCAAGCCCAGACAGGTAGAATTCAAATGTATGAATTCTACCCAACATTTAGGGAAGACATGCCCTGGCCGGTTTGGCTCAGCGGTTGGTAGGGAAGACATTTTACCAATCCTCTACAGTCTCCTTCAGAAGATAGGAGAGGAAATACTTCATATTTCGTTCTGAGACCAGCATTATCCTAATATCAAAATCAGACAGACATTACAAGAAAACTACAACCAAAACCTCTCATGAGCATAGGTACAAAAAACCTCAACAAAATATGAGCAAATAAAACCCACAATGTATAAAAAGAATCCCCACAACCAAGTGGGATTCATCCCAGGTATACAAGGCCAGTTCAACATTAAAAAATCAATTAGTGTAATCCACCACATGAACAAGCTAAAAGGGAAAAACCACATGTTCATATCACTAGATACAGAAAAGGTACTTGACAAAATTCATCATCTATTCGTGATCAAGACTCTCAGCAAATTAGGAATAAAGGAACTTTCTCAACTTGATAAAGAACATCTATAAAACACACATGTACACACTCATAACATACTCATAGTGAGAAACCAGCTTTCCTGCCAAGATCAGGAACAAGGCAAGGATGTCCCCTCTCACTCCCCCCCCCCCCCTTTTTTTTGGTTAATCCTCACCCAAGAATATTTTTTCCATTGATTTTTTTAGAGAGGGTGAAAGGGAAGGAAGGAGGGGGAGCGGACGAGAGAGACACATCAATTGGTTGCCTCACACACACACCCTGATCCGGGCCGGCGAACTTGCAACCCAGGTACATGCTCTTGACCAGGAATCAAACCTGTGACCCTTTGGCTCACAGGCCGATGCTCTGACCACCGAGCCACACCTGCTAGGGCTCTCACCATTTCTTTTCAACATCATACTGAAAGTCCCAGCTAATGCAATAAGACAAAACAACAAAAACCCCACAGGAAATAAAAGGCATACAGATTGGGAAGAAATAAAAGTGTCTCTGTTGGCAGATGACATGATTGTTTATGTAGAAAATCCAAAGAATCAATAACAACAACAGAAACTCATGAAACTAACAACAAATAAATGTAGCAAGGTTGCAGAATATATGGTTAATATACAAGTCAATCATTTTTCTATATACCAGCAATGAACAAGCAGAAGTTGAAATTAAAAACACAATACCATTTACATTAGATTTATTAGGTACAAATCTAATAAAATTTTTACAAGATCTATGGACAACTATAAAACTCTAATGAAAGAAATTAAAGAACTAAATAGATAATCCATGCTCGTGGATATGAAGATTCAATATTGTCAAGATGTCAGTTCTTCCCAACTTGATCTACAGATTCAACAGAATCCCAGTCAAAATCTCAGCAAGTTGTCCTAGCCAGTGTGGCTCAGCTGGTTGGAGCATCATCCCATACACCAAAAGGTGACGGGTTTGATCCCTGATCTGGGCATATGCAGGAGGCAACAAATCAATGTTTCTCTCTCCGTCTCTCCTCTCTCTAAAATAATAAATTTTTTAAAAATCCTAACAAGTTATTTTGTGGATATTGACAAACTGATTCTAAAGTTATATGGAAAGGCAAAAGATCCAGAACAGCTAGCACACTGTAGGAGAACAAAGTTGGACTGACACTATTGGACGTCAAGACTTACTATAGCCTGGCCGGTGTGGTTCAGTGGTGAGCATGACCCATGCACTAAGAGGTCACTGGTTCCATTCCCAGTCAGGACACATACCCAGGTTGTAGGCCAAATACCCAGTGGGGGGCACACAGGAGGTGGCCAGTCAATCCGCTCTCTCATTGATTTTCTATCTCTCTCTCCCTCTCCCTTCCTCTCTCTCTAAAAATCAATAAAGAAAAAAAAAATTTCTTAAGACTTACTATAAAGCTACAGTAATCAAGGGTGTGGTATTGGTCAAAGAACTGACAAATAGATCAGAAGAGAATAGAGAGCCCAGAAATAGACCCACATATAATCAACTGATTTTTTATGAGAAGCAAAGGCCATACAACAGAGAAACAGTACTTTTCTGCAAATGGTGCTGAAACAATTGGACATCCACATGTAAAAAAAAAAAAAAAAAAAAAGAGCCCTGGCGGTTTTGCTCAGCAGTTAGAGTGTCGACCTGCAGTCCTGAGAGATCCGGGTTCGGTTCCCGCTAGGGGTGCATACCTCGGTTGCAGTTTGTCCCTGGCCCTGGTCGGTCGTGTGGGTGGCAGTCACTCGATGTGTCCCTTTCACATCAATGTTTCTCTCTCTCTGTTCCTCTCTCTCCCTCCCACTCTACCTGAACAAAAAAATGGAAAAATGTCCTCGGGTGAGGATAAAAAATTTTAAAAAAGGTGAAATGAGAAAGCTTGCCATGTCAACTGTGACAAGAATAGGTGCCCTGTAGGGTCTCTCATAGTAAGCGCTCACATTAATGTGAGGGGTGGACTTCAATATACCTAATCATCATCTCCACAAGTTTCACAAGAAGGGTACAAATGGTTCCTGTCGGTAACACCAGCCCTTCCAATCTGCTGGGTAGAATGCAACACTGAAGGCACCATCAGCACACTGGCCTCCAGGAACCCCTTAGCCTTGGGAATACTTCCCATAATCCTGTTTGTCCCTGGCTGAAGACACGCCCCTCCTGCAGAGGCCAATAAATACACACAGTAACATAAAATTAGATGATCCAGTTTACATATGTATCTTTTACTCCTTCATTTCTGTGCTGATGGATCCACAGCTCGTCCAGCAGAACCAAACACCAGTTCTTTCTTCAGCTCTCACAGATGAGCAAAGCCAAAATCCAGACCCTTTTAACTTACTGTTTAGGACTACTGACTATAAATTATTGGAGCTTAGTCCATTTTAGAGCTCATACCCTAAGATAAAAACTCAGATGGTTGTAATATTGTTTTCAGGAAGAATACTTTGTTATTAGAACATTATTTACATTGTCTCCCAGGAATTTCATGTTTTCTTAATAGCTGTTCATCTTGCTTTTAATTTATAAATGTTATTTAGTTTCAATGTGTTTCTGGTGGGTTGTTTAACCTTGCATTGGGCAGTTTCCCGTAACTCTTAGTAGGGTGGGCCTCCTGTGTTCCAATAACCAAGACTTTCAGCTGTGCACGTGGGTCATGCACAACTCCCCTCACCAAGAGACATGGGGGAAAACTCCCCCATATTCTTCAGGGTTCATGGTTCTTTTCCACCAAAAAGTGGACACATGTCAACTCATGGAAATTATAAGGTCCTTGGCCTCATCTAAAGGTGCTTCAGCCCAAGTTTGAGAACCACTAACCTCCAGGAAGGCCAGCCCTGGCTCCTAGACCCCTACGCCATGGCAGGCAACCTGTGAACTTAGCATGATGTCTCAAAGCTGGTTTGCAGCTGTCCACTCTCTAGCAATCTTGCCTTCTGAAACGATTTTCTTTTTACCAGATGATCCCTTCCCTTTTGAGCCACCTCTGCCCAGAGGAATGTGGCTATGCCCTCCAGCCACAGCAGGACAGCACTGCAGCACACACAGGAGGAAGCCTACCAGGCAGACACCAGGTTCACACGCAGCATGTGGGTAAGGCTTTTGTTCTAGAGCACATGTGAAGGGAGGTCTCACTGGCTCAACAAAGCTTGAAACTTGTACCCAGCAGGTTCCCCACCCCAACCCCACTCATGCTCTATCAGGAGCCAAGGGTAAAAGTGGTAACCAGTGCCAAGACCTACCAAAGGTGAACCCCTACAACATGCAATGCACAACAGGGACAAGAGAGGTCATGCTGGTCCAGCAAGAGGAAAGGGAAATTAAGGGGAAATCTATACTAGAACCAGGTCAGTGGGTAGGCGCTTTCGAGTCAGGTAGACCTGGGGGTGAGCCTCCCGCTGCGGAGCCTTGAGCTCCTCTAGCCCAGAGAGGGCACCGACAAAAGAATGCTGAATGAAACCCTCAGCCAGTTTCCTCCTCCGCAGAATCAGTGATATAATTCCTACCTTACAGAATGGAGAGCAATAAGACATAGTGCTAAGAAAAACAGGCATAAGATGTGGTAGGCTGGGCATGTGTTCTAAAGCCAGTTCTGCCTGAACCAGCAGAACATTTTCACATCAGGAACAGGACTGCCCAGAGCCAGGTTGGGAGGGAGGTGAGGGCAGGGGCAGGACCAGGCACTGAAGCGAGGCCAATGCCAAGGCCAAGGCCAGGGCCCAGTAGAAGCCAGTTCCTGGTGGCTGCTGGACAGCTCACACAGCTCCCTGCCTCATCCACCATGGTCCTCCTTCTGCCCTGGCTCTCCCGATGTTGCTGCCGAGGCCTCCTCCTGCCTTCCTGGCCCCTGATGCTTCAGGGGCCCCAGAGGTACAGCTCCCAGAGCCCCAAGACGAGCACAAAACAGCAGACCAGCTCCACAGGCAGCGGAAAGATGAGGTCCCCCACCACAGTAAGTGGCACCAGGAGTGGGGGTGGAAGGCATGAGGGGAGATTTATCCTGGGGGCAGGAATCCCCTCAATCTCTCCCTGTATCACAAGCTGAGATAGACACCAACCCTGATCCCTAGAGTCTGTTGCCTAGTCCAACTCTCAGCTTCCCAGCAGGTTCCCCACCCCCACCCCACCCCACCTCAGGGCTCCTACTGCCAGCACCCCTCCCTCACTGCAGCCCACAAAGTCCTTGAGCAGGAATTTCGCCTCATGTAAGTTAATTATTTCTGGGAGCAGGGGGAGGGGCAGGCAGTCCTCTCCTTTCCCCTTAAGTCCAGTTACAACCCCAGGGCCAGGGATCTCTATCTGTACCCCCTTCCCAAGAGGCCTATGCCTAAGACAGGAAGCTACCCTTAAATTAATGGGGTCAGAAACGGGAGAAGCAGCATTCCTGACTCCCAGCAAGCCTCAGCCCCCTGACCTGGCTGATGCTCCCTCCTCACACCCCTCCCGCAGGGTCCTGGGCGCACAGCTGAGCTGGCCCAGGCTGAGGAGCTGCTAGAGCAACAGCTGGAGCTGTACCAGGCCCTGCTGGAAGGGCAAGAGGGGGCCTGGGAAGCCCAGGCCCTGGTGCTCAAGATCCAGAAACTGAAGGAGCAGATGAGGAGACACCGAGAGAGCCTGGGAGGAGAAACCTAAGCTTCCCCAATTGCCACTTCACCCTCCAACAAGGGGAAACACTGAACACCACCTGCCCTGAAGCCAATCAGAAACACACTAGCATTCCCAGGCTGCTAAGGAAAACAGAAGACACTCCAGAGGGCCAGTCACTGGAAAGCAGTGGAGAACCATGACCTCTGAAGTCTTTTTAGCCACATCCCCCACTTTGACCCCTCCCTCTGATGAACTTGGCCCCACGTAAATAACCTAAAACTTCACCCAAAATCTAATAAAAGGAGCGCTTACAGACACCATAAGACACATGTGTTTTTTAGTTTTGTTAAAAAAAGTTCTGACAAATAAGGAAATAGGAGTTTAGAAGTGGTGATGCAAAAGAGGGCGGGCATGGGGTGGGCAGAGGGAAGGCATGGGGCGGGGCAGGGGTTGTCAGGGGTAGGTGGCAGTAGTGTCTCCTTCACCCCCACGCCTGGTGTCATCTCCTGAAGAGGGACAGACTGTCACATTCCAGAACAGGAAGATGAGTCCTTTATCGTGTCTGTTCAACTGAAGAGAAAATACAGCAGTTAGAAAAAGACATGAAAAAGGTGAGGTTGGCAGAAACACATGCCCACACACGCAGATGTCTGTATGGTGCTGGGTCTAAAGGGCAGATGTGGGGGTAGGGAAAGAAAGAATCTGATGACAGAAGAGATCCCATAGAGGTGAACTAAACATCCGAACACAGCATCGAGATTGGGGGGCGTGAACTCGTCAGGTGCCCATGATGTACTAGGGGCTTTACCCACATAATGGGATCCCAGACAAACACAGTAAGGAACAAGGAGAACTAAGGAGTTAGGGGAGTGGGTTTCTGTAATCGATACTCACTGTAGGAGGAGATATCTATCTCATCCGGCAGCTCACTAATATTGACCTCAAAGCGATCCTGCACATCGTTGAGAATCTTGGCATCATTCTCATCTGACACAAACGTGATGGCCAAACCCTTGGTGCCAAACCGGCCTGCTCTGGCCACCTGGGAGGAGACAGAAGGTAGGACTGGAAACCCCAAGGGGAAAACACCCAAGAGGAGGGATGAGATGCATACTATGAAGACAGAAATGCGGGGTGGGAGAGATCACTGAATGTCCTTGCGGGCACAGTGCTGACCCGATGCAGGTAGGTGTCGGAATCCTCAGGCATGTCGTAGTTAAAGGCAATGTTCACCCGCTCAATGTCCATGCCTCGGCCGAATAGGTTGGTAGCCACAAGAATTCGTCGTTGAAAATCTTTAAACTGCTGATACCGAGAAAGCCTTTGTGAGAAAGGAAATTAGAAAAATGTTGAGAGTCCCTTCTCTCAAGTTTCTTTTCCTCCCAAGGATACAAAACATCTTCCCCATTTCCAACTCACCTCTCCTCCTGGGGCATCCCACGGTGGATGGCGATGGCTGGGAAGTTCTGCTCCACCAGGAGCTGGGCCAGGGCAATGCAACGCTGCACAGACTTCACAAAGATCACCACCTGCGTGTGTGCGTGTGAGATGTGGGTCCACGCGTGCAGGACATTGTATGAAAAAGGAGTTCTGGGTAATTACTCTTCTAAAGGAATTCCTCTCAGTCCCTATCATGTTTCCTTTCTGCTCTAAATGTAACTTTACCCTAATTCTAGATAGATTTTAGTGCAAATAAACCATGTAACAGGTAAAATGATGCAACACTTCTCAGTAAATAGTACAGGAAAAACAAATTTCAGAACTTTTCAACCTTATTAAATACTTTAAGGATTTTTATTTTAACCCTCAACCGAGGGTATTTTTCCATTTATCTTCCGAGATAATGGAAGAGAGGGCCCTTGCTGGTTTGGCTCAGCGGTTAGAGCGTGGGCCTGTGGACCAATGGGTCGCGGATTCGATTCTGGCCAAGGGCACGTACCTCAGTTACAGTTCATCCCATCCCTGGTTGGGTTGTACGGAGGCAACCAGTCGATGTGTCTGTTTCTCACATCAACGTTTCTCTCTCTCCCATTCTATCTGATGATAAATGTAAAAAAAATATCCTTGGGTGAGGATAAAAAAGAAAAAAAGAATGGGAGAATGGGAGAGTGGGAGGGGGAGGGGGAAGAGAGAGAAACATTGATGCTAGAAAGACACACTGACTAGTTGCCACCTGCATGACCCCAACCAAGGCTGGGGATTGAACCACTACTGAGGTACGTGCCCTTGACTGGAATCAAACCCCCAACTCTTTGGTGCATGGGCCGACGCTCTAACAGCTGAGCCAAACCAGCCAGGGCTACCCTTTAAGGGCTTTATTTTTTTGAGGTTACCTACTGAGTTTATTTACAGAGTACCCGTCTATGCCAGCAATGGAACAGAAAAGCAGCCCCCCCTTGCTCACGCTCAGCTCCAAGACATTTATATTCTCACTTAGAAGAATCTCACTTAAGATGGGCCGGGTGGCTCCTTGGAGTGTTGTCTGGTACACCACAGAAGGTGCAGGCTGCCCTGGCCACTCACTCACTGGTTAGAGCGTCAGCCCACAGACTGAAGAGTTGTGGGTTCGATCAGCCCTGGTCGGGGTGGTGCAGGAGGCAACTGATCAATGTGTCTCTCTCACATCAATGTTTCTCTTTCTCTCTCTCCCTCACATTGTCTGAAAATAAATGGAGAAATATCCTTGGGTGAAGATCTAAAAAAAGGTTGCAGGTGTGATCCCGTCAGGGTACATACAGGGTGACAACCAATCAATGTCTCTCTTTCTAAGATCAATCAAAACATCCTCAGGTGATGATTTAAAAAAAAAAAAGAGCCCGGCCAGTGTGGCTCAGTGGTGGAGCATCAAGCCATACACCAAGAGGTCACCAGTTGGATTCCCGATCCCCAGTGGGGAGCAGCAGGAGGTGGCCAATTGATGTTCTCTCTTATCGATGTTTTTGTCTCTCTTCCCTTCTCCCTTCCTCTCTTCTCTCAAAAATCAATCAATAAATAAAATTAATAAAGAAAAAAAAAAGTCACTTCAGAGAAGGTGTCCACCACTCTCTTACATCACTGTGCGGTTTCCTCAACAACAGGGTACTGAATACAGATCTCTGCTCCCGTTGGAGACCAGCTCATCCTCCTACTGGATCTTTAACAACTGACCTGGTTGAACTCAAGAACATCCAAAAGGTCAAAGAGCTTCCGGTTCTTCTCGTTGTCCTTCAGTTTCACGTAGTACTGCTGCAACCCATGCAGCGTCAGCTTCGTCTCATCATCCACGAAGATCTCCATTGGCTGAGGGGGAGGGGGAGCAGGGGGTGGGGAACGGGAGGAGGGCAGAGTGGGGGGGTTAAACCTGGGGGGGTGGAGGAAGTTGATCTCCAATACACCCCATGGGGGGAATGGGGAGAAGAAAAGACTGAAAACTCACCCCACCCCCCAAAACACCACCATTTTCATATGGTCTCCTCCACTTTAGATCTAATTTCCTCCCTACCAGTGGAGCCCTAAGACTGCCCGACTGAAACTGTCCTGGGAAGGAACTTGACAGAGAGAAGAGAAGCAGAGAAACCACCCAATGGCAAGATGCCATTACCTCAAATGGAGGTGGGGATGGAAAAAACTAGAAAATCCTCAAAGGGAGAATATGATCCAAACCCCTGGGAAATGGTGGGGACACTGACCGGACGCCAGAACAGTCCCATCAGAGCGAGCACAAGGGTGCGGAAAGGACGAGGGCTGCTCCACAAGCTCTCCAGGAGGGAGCCACACCCATGCTGGGAAGGGACGCTGCGAGAGACCCAATCAAAACACCAGGAAAGGAGAAGCAAAGGGGCTCAGGGGCTCGAGCTGAAGAACAGCTCGCCCTCGACCACAAGGGCATAGGTCTAGATGAGACTGGCCCGAGCTAAGGTGCACGCCATCCAGTGTCACGTGGAAGCACCTGTAAGTGGTGCCAGGAAACCCAGAGCTGCAGGTATGCACTTATCTTTTTACCCATGAAGGGGAGGACGGTAGCATTAAAAAAAGACAAATTAAAAATTTTCAATAAAGTAAAATAAATAAAAAAATTTAAAAGACAGGAATTGACACAAAACCCAACTCGAGCCCAGATTTCCTATCCTTCTTCACTACCCTGGGAACACAGCTAACATGAAGACCCAGGGCCCACGGCCTCAGGAAAAGAGGTGTGCCACAGAGGACAGCCAGGAGCAGACTGCAGAAGGCAGGCTAGCAAAGGCAGGCTTTCCAGAAAAAAGTTCCATGGCCTCTTTCAAAACTAAGTGTAGCCCAGGTCCAGCTACAGACAAGGAGCTGCCCTCCATGGGAAGGAGCAGAGCAGGGAGGTGCGCAGTACATGCCACTGCTCACCAACGGGCCACCCAGCCCCAGCCCGATCCGCCTGCCACATCAGGTCAAGTGCCTCACTTCACCTTTCCTATACCCCTCTCCTCTGAGTATTAAATAAAAAGAAAAAAAACTACCACCCCATTCAGGACACCCCTCCCCACCCAACACATATGGGGAAATAAGGAGCACGGCACGCCTTGGGTTCAGGAAAAAAACCGGGAACGGAAAAAGAGGCTGGTTTGGTCCTCAGCTTCCTGGTCAGGTTTCCCCGCGGCCTCCGCTGCCGCCATCCACCGCCGGTGCCGTCTGAATTCCCCCGCTGCGCCACAGTGCTTCTCTCTGCTGCCGGCTCATGGCTCATGGCTCACATCAACCGAGGTTCCACGTGGGTGCGAGGAGGTTCGCGCGGGAAGGAGTAGGGGATCGGGGACTGAGGTGCCAAAGGCCCCCACCCCTGGAGGTGGGGAGGGAGCAGATTCATGTGTGCTGTTTGCTCTTCTTTTGGACATGCCCTGCCAACTGTCTGTCCCTCTCTTGCTCTCCTGCCACCGGGAGGTCATGAGTTTTGGGGAGCAGAAGGCTCCAGTTGTATGCTCGATGCCACCTTGAGGGTGCGTGGCTGTAGGGGATATGTAGGAGACGATGGGTGGGTGGAGGGCAGAAAACCCTGCCCTCTCCCCCGAAAGGGAGAAGAGGTTCAAAAATGCTGTGATTTAAAAAAAAAAAAGTCGAACACTACCCGCTCTCATGTTAACCCGACCAAGTCTTCCGGAATTTCCCTGGCGCCCGCGCAGACCCTAACACTAGCTGTCTCTGCCTCTGTGCGTTTCTTCAAGGAGCCATCACTCCCAGATGGGCTCGTGCCCCCTTCTTGGCACTTGAAGGACAAGGGAGTCTGGAGGAAGAGGGCACGGAAGGGGAGGAGGCAGTGGGCAGGGAGTGGAGGAAGAGAAGGTAGAAGGGTATTTACGTCTTGCATGAACTTGCGGCAGACTGGCCGGATCTCTTTGCTCAAGGTAGCACTGAACATCATGACCTGCTTCTCATGGGGGGTCATGCGAAAAATTTCCTGGACATCCCGACGCATGTCTATGAGAAAAGGGGCAAAAGAAAACAGAGAAGAAAAACAGCTTGTGTCATAAACAAAGACCAGATAGGCCTGCCAGTGAGGTCAGGACTGCTGGAAATGTGTGTGCAACAGTCAGTTCAAGAAAGGACATGCCTCAGGTTTCTCTCTATTTCCTCCAAGTCTCATGAAATCACATCCAGAGTAATACAACAGAAAGAACAATACATTTGGAATCAAGATTTGGAATCAGACTCCAACTCTGTATTTTAACCAGGCAAGAAGTATACATGAAACCCGAAGCATTCAACTGTGAAACAGGGATACAGCCCACCACAGAGGTGCCCCCAAGGACAACACAGCTGGAAAACACTCTACAATTCCCTTCTTCTTACTGGTCTCTCCCCAAGGCCTGGCTACCTGTTATATTCCAGCTGTCAGAGTCCACACCCTGCTTCCTCTGGATCACTTTCCTACCAGTCAGGCCAACAGGACATCTCTACTTGGAGCCCACTTTGTAGCTTGCCATGTGGATACAGCCAGAGATCACTTGGAATGACTTGTCCCTAAGGCTATGGTCATCCCATTCTCATTCACCAAATTTGAGTTCTTAGAGAAAATTTCCTTTAACCCCACTTAGCACACTGGAACACCAAGCCACGCAGACACCTAGCAACACTCTCCACGTTAGTCCTAGAACTTAAGTCTACAAGTCTATTCAGCTGGAAAGCCTGATGATATATGCTGTGCTGAGGATGTGAGAGGGCAGACCGCTGCCTCTCTTCGTTCGGTGTCTCCCCTATGACATCACTGTAGAAATACCTAAAGGAAAGGGAGGTGTAACCAATGTCCAAGATCAACGAAGTCTCTCCTCTCAAAGGTAAAGAAACATCTAACACAGAATGAAGAATAGGACACCCTTCTCCCTAAGCAACAAGGCTGCTTAAAATGCGTAACAACAACCAACCAAGGAAGCCAAAACCATCAGTGATGGGTAGCAGATTAAGAGTCGCCCTGCACTAAAGGCTCCTGTATCAAATAAACATCATTTGGCTCCAAAGGGCAACCCCCAGATCAGTAGCCCAATCCTGGCACTGCCACTCACCGAGTTGTTCGAGCATCTTATCACATTCGTCCAAGATAAAGTGTTTAATGTGTTTGAGGTTCAGGCTCTTATTTCGAGCCAAGGCTAGGATGCGGCCAGGGGTCCCCACGACGATATGCGGGCAGTTCTTCTTCAGCACCTCTTCATCCTTCTTGATAGACAGACCACCAAAAAACACTGCAACCTGCCAACCCGGGAGAAAAGAGTGTCTCACAATGAAACAATGATTCCAGCCCAGCCAGAGTAGCTCAGTGGTTAAGCATCAACCCATGCACCAAGAGGTCGCCAGTTCGATTCCTGGTCAGGGCACATGCCCAGATTGTGGACCCAATCCCCAGAGGGGGGCATGCAGGAGGCGGCCAATCGATGTTCTCTCTCATCGATGTTTCTCTGTCTCTCCCTTCCTTTCTCTCTAAAATCAATAAAGAAAAAGTGTTTTAAAAAAAGAAATAATGATTCCAATCTCCCCATAGTACCCATCCTTTCAGTTTGCTCTAAACCAATTCTTAGAACATTTCAGAGCTAAAAGGGATATTAGAGGCCATCTAATCTAAAATCACTATATCCCCAAACATTGAGGCTAAGAAACAAAAATGACTTGCCCAAAGTTACATGGCTAATCTGGGCAGTCAGGACCAGCATTAAGTTCCTCTGCCTTAACCATCCTTCCCATGACTCTAAGAACAGGCTTAGCATGAGAGCAGCAAGGAATCACCAGAATGTCAAGTACTGCCACAAAGCTCATAGAACATCGAGTTTTCCTAACTCAACCCAGACTTTTAAACTCCTCTGTACAAACCATATAAAATTACTGATTCTGGCTTAACATTACTCCATATTAAAACCATTAGAATAGTTGTTGAGGATTAGGGACTTAGTACAGTATAACACCAAAAATTGCTTCCTAGTTTCAAGGGCAGGGAAGGAATCAGACTGTCATGACCCTAATTCTACAGTAAATCTAAAATCACTAAACATGAAGAATACAGCATCACCCACGAAGTTTTCTTACCAAAAAATTTCAGTTTACAGGAAATACTAGGAAGCAAAGTACAAACTAAACAACACTATAAAGAAGTTAACCAAATAAGCCTCAACCAGGTGGCTGAGTTGGTTAGAGCACTGTCCCATACACCAAAAAGGTGGTGGATTCAATTCCTGTCAGGGCACATAAAGGAGAAAACTCATCCCTGTATCTCTCTCACATCAATGTTTCTCTCCCCGCCCCTCCTCCTTCTTCCCACTCTTAAAAAAAAAAAAAAAAAAAAAAAAATCAATGAAAAACATCTCCTCGGGTAAGGATTAAAAAAGGGAGTTAACCAGATAGATGAATCCAGAGATAGGACATTCTGTAGAAATGGCCCAGTCCCTTCAAGTCACTGTAGCATAATTTTGGGCAAAAGGAAATGTCATGCCAATTTGTGTTTGATCTTGACACCAAGCACATAGGCACAAAGGTGATGAGCTGGACCTATACGGGAGGAAATGCAACTCTAGCTCACCACAGAGCTCAACAGTAAATGCTTCCACAGTCATAACAATGGAAACTCTTTCCTGGTCTCCAAGTTTTAGATTCAACCTAGACAAGACTACTTAGGGAAAGGACAGAAAGTAAACGCTATTGACACAGACAGTGTAAAAACAGAGATATACAGCCCTGCCAGTGTGGCTCAGTGGTTGAGCATCAACCCATGCACCCAGAGGTCGCCAGTTCAATTCCCGATCAGGGCACATGCCCAGGTTGTGGGCCAAATCCCCAGTGGGGGGCATGCAGGAGGCGGCCAATCGATGTTCTCTCTCATCAATATTTCTATCTCTCCCTCTCCCTTCCCCTCTCTCTCTAAAATCAATTAAAAAAAAATTTTTTTTGTAAAGAGATATACATAACATGGACACCTACAATATATATAGCATTCAGACCACACTTATTTAAAATTAATTATGTTTCAGCCCTGGCCAGTATGGCTCAGCGGTTAGACCATCGGCCTGAGGACCAGAGAGACCCGGGTTTAGTTCCTGCTAAGGGCACGTACCTCGGTTGTAGTTTGTCCCCGGCCCTGGTTAGTCGTGTGGGTGGGCAACCACTCAACGTGTCCCTTTCGCATCGATGTTTCTCTCTCTCTCTTCCTCTCTCCCCCTCCCACTCTATCTGAACAAAAAATGGAAAAATGTCCTCGAGGATAAAAAAATAATAAAATTAATTATGTTTCAAAAGAAACAGTGTAAATAAGTCAAAAGATCTGTAAGTTGATAAATTGGAGAAAACAGTGACTAATACTTTATTTCACAAAACCATTAGACCTTTCAAAAAAAGTTAACAAATGATTATCTTCTATGAAGTTGGATCAGAGATGAAAGAACACAAATCTTTACACTGTAAGGTCTTCCAGAATACTTAAGCATTTTTACCATGCAGGTACTACCACTACTACTTCAGTTTTGTATGTTATTTTTAAAATATAGTAACAGGGTTGTGGGCTCAATCCCTGGTAAGGGGTGTGCAAGAGGCAGCCAATCAATGTTTCATTCTCATATAGATGTTTCTCTCTCTTCCCCCCTTCCTCTCTCTCTAAGAAAAAATCAATCAGAAAGAAAAGTATGTGTAATGTTTTATATATATATATATATAATAATAATATAGCAAGGAAAATTACAACAAGGAAAATTACAACATCCTAAAGAGAAGTTCTACTCTTCACACCATCCTAGCCAGGAAGGTTCGAGGTTATATACATCAAGGTTAGGTAACAGAGAACAACCCAAGCCAACTTTGCTGCAGCTTCCAGATATCTTTCAATTTTCCACTTTAAAGAATTCTTAAAATTCACACCACACTAGAGCCATTTTGGAGTTTCCAGCCTTCCCTTGCCATACACCACCAAATTCTCAAACTGTCAACCAAAGCACACTGAAATGATTCAAAGTGTCAGCGTAAAGAAGCATAAGCTGAAGGGTGATCCTGGGGAAGCATCCTCCACAGCCCAACCACCCGGTCTCCTATTGCACAAGCGTATTTACACACTGTGTTAAGGGAAAAAACTAGGGAAACTAAAGCTTCTCCAAAATTAGAATACAGCACACATCTCTGAAGTTATAATGCAAATCCAAATTAAGCCCAAAGTTTGCACGAATTTACTATCTATTAGGTGTAACTTACTATCTATTAGATGTAACTCAGGTTCACATACAGATATTTAATATCTGTGGGACATGAAGACTGCTGGTCTGTAAGTCCCCAATGCCTCCAACCCCCCACACCCTCCTCTCCCTGGTCTCTTCACCTTGGCTTACCTTGACATTGGGCATGTATTTAGAGAAGCGCTCATACTCCTTGCTGATTTGAAAAGCCAGCTCCCGAGTGTGACACATCACCAGCACAGACACCTTGGGGGTAAGTAGACGGAAAAACTGTATATCCCTTCACCATCCCTCTGGGAAAGTGACTGTCACAAAAGCATACCTAGCAGATCATAAATGACTTTAATTCTGAGATCTAAATCATTAACCCCATGATTACTACAAAATATTTCCCATGGCCACAAGGATGACAGAGGTCATCTTAGCAACAAGCACTCACAGTTCTGAATGCATCACGTAGCTGAGCTACAGACACCCTGCCCAAATATTCCTGACCAAATCTCCCTCCCTTATATTCTCTCAACTGTACCTGCCCAGTAACTGGCTCCAGCTGCTGCAGTGTGGCCAGCACAAACACTGCCGTTTTTCCCATGCCTGACTTGGCCTGGCACAGGACATCCATTCCCAGAATGGCCTGAGGGATGCACTCATGCTGAACTAAAAACAAAAGAAAAAAGACAAATTAGGCTTCAGTCTCCAGGCCGAACCCATTTCTTGCCACTGAATTCTTAACCAGTTCTTGTCAATTTCCAGATACTTTCTACCTCTCTGCTCCATCAATCAAATTCATCTCCAAATCAGACCTAATTCCTTCTAGCTTTATCTTCCAGCTCCAACCAACCCCCTCCCACCACCCCCTCCTAACAGCCCACTTGCACCTAACAAAAGCTCACCTTTGGTGCTCTGTCCTTATTTTTCCTTAATCTTCAACAATCCATGACATTTGAGTGCCTGCCACAGGCCGTTTCTCCTACTTAGACTGCCATGCTTTAGGTCACGTAACCCTACAACCTTGGACTAAATGAAGGACTTGGTACCTGACCCAAAAGCCAGCCACCTTTAGAACAACCATAAAGGTTTCCAGAGTTGGCCAGCCCAAAAGAGAACTAAAGATACAACCAGCTCCTCTCTGGAAATTTAAAATTATGAGTCAAGCATGGACAGTGTGGTCCAGTGGGTAGAGCATCGTCCCATGGACTGAGAGGTCCTGTTTCAATTCCCAGTCAGGGCACATGCCCAGGTTTTGGGCTTGATCCCCAATACGGGGCATGCAGGAGGCAACCAATCGATATATCTCTCTCACATCAATGTTTCTCTCTCTCCCTTCCTCTCTAAAAAAAAAAAAAAAAAAAAAAAAAATCAATAAAAACGTATTTAAAAAAATAGCCTGGGCCGTGTGGCTCAGTGGTTGAGCGTCAACCCATGCACCAAGAGGTTGCTGGTTCGATTTCCTGTCAGGACACATGCCCAGGTTTTGGGCCCAAGCCCCAGTGGGGGGCATGCAGGAGACGGCCAATGTTCTCTCTCATCCATGTTTCTATCTCTTCCTCTCCCTTTCTCTCTCTCTAAAATCAAGGAAAAACATTTTTAATTTAAAAATAGTAACAATAAAATTATGAGACAAAATTAAAAACTAGAAGGCAAGAAAAAATGCCAGTCACAAAAACAAACAGCAGACCTCTAAGTTGTTTTTGGATCACCTGCACTTTCTTGCTATCATGAATAAAAAGACCAGCCTACATAAACACCTTCTATTAATAAAATAGTTTCTGGTACTTCCACTACTTATTTCCTAGTCTATCCTAAATATAACTCTGTATCACTGAGGGACCAGGAACATATCTGTTTTTACAATCATTAAAGTGCCTAACGAGTACTCTATGCCCAAGAGAAAATGTACCTTCTGATGGATGCTCAAAGCCACAGTCAACAATGGCCCGGAGTAACTCTGGCTTGAGCAGGAAGTCCCGAAAGCCAGAGCTATGGATGGAGACGTAGGAGCCCTTAACATCCTTCTTGGCAGGGGCCTCGGTCCCATCTCCCCCAGCTGCGGTCTCCACCTCATCATCTTCATAGTCCAAGAGCTCATTGTCCACATCGTTCTCTGCCATAACTGGGCCGGCAGGGGTAGAAGGGGAGGGGCCTCTGGATGCGGTCACGCAGAGTGAGTGAAAACAAGGGAGGAAAGTTGGAGCTTAAGGAATAGAGGAAAAGAGACAATTGTTTTTGACAGAAGAGCTAGGAAAAAAAACACATACAGAAAAAAGACATCAGTCATGAGCACAGCCTTCACCACCTCTTTTCCATCCCCACACCCGTCTCACTTTCCCTAAACTACGAAACCTTTACCTGGAAATAAAAGTAACAAAGAAATACAAAACATAAAAGCAAGAGAAATACAGGGAATGGGAGAGTGGTTCCAGGGAAGGGAAGGTGTTCAGGCCACAGGCTCCCAGCAAGGTTAGGATCAGAGCAGTGGAAGACCAGCTGATGAACCCCTTGCCTGTCAGTAGTAACAGTGAGGAAAACGAACAGGTCATGAGCAGCAGAATATGACTACGGCGGTGGAGAATGGGGATAAGAAATCCTCGGACAGACCTTGCGCTTTCCCTATCATCTCAAACTGCCAACCCCTGGCGTAGCAGCCATCAGTCAAGGGTGATAGATGAAGGTCATCACTGCGCAGAGCGCTCACTTCTCAAAATGAAAACATCATGTGGCTGCCACTCACCTCCCACCGCTCACCAGCCTCCCACTCCTCCGTAGCCTCCGCTGCAGCCTAAAGATCCCTGTGTCATTAGCCAAGGGCGGGGGTTGGGGGTACGAGAAATGGTTCTGCTGGGGAAAACCCTCTCTCCACCATACAATGAGTGAGAAGATAACCGAGAGGACGACGCTCGGCACAACTGAACCTTTACCGAGCAGCCTCACAGCACCGCGCGTTACTCCTCAGGTTAGACTCCTTTCCAAAAAACGCACAATGACATCTCCCGAAATCATTTGCAAAGCGCTCCAAATAAAGGTGAGCAAGTCCAGGTAAGAAAGTCCAACTGGGCCCAGAAGCGGGCTCCTCCCCTTAGTCCTCCGCGGGCCGAGAGACCCAGAAACGAGGAGGTGAGAAGAGCCCCGCCCTCCGCAAAATGCCCAGGACCTGAGGACGCCTAGCGCCGCCTCTCATTGTCGCCAGGGCCTCCAGCAAACGAGAGGCCCACCGGAGGAGCCGAGAGCTAAAGGAACACAATGGCGCCGAGGCCACCATCTTGGATTAAGCCTTTCTAGCTTCCCTACCTCCCCCCCCAGAAACTCTTTGCTCTCGAAAAGGATGCGAGAGTTGAAAATGACGACCCAACTAGGCCCCAGCGACCAGACCATAGCCTGTGGAAGGGATATCAGGAGCCCATGCACTAGGATGGCCGCAGAGAAGCGCAGATGGAAATGGATGGTACAGAAGGCCAAACCTTACCTGAGCAAGGCAAACGCGTATGGCGGCAGCAACAGCAAAGGAGGCAATCTGCCTTCACTTCCGGTTCCCAGTTTCCCTCTACCCCGGCCTCCCGCCTTCTCCGCGGCTAGCGTGCAGGCGCAAAGGGCCGGGAAGAAGGACCTTCCTCCGTTCTGTAGTTCCGCGCGTTCCGGGGTTGCCTTTAGAAACTGCCTGTGTGAATTTTGTTTAAAAACCACTTCTAACCCCTCCAGTACTGCCAGTAACAAAAGGCATAGAGGAAACTAGCATCCCCTTCCACTGATATTTTCTTTCTCTTGTCCCACTTTTCTCCACGCCCCTCACCTCTTCATTTAGGTTCTTGCCACGCAGGTCTTCTCTTTGGGCACCCCTCCGTGGCGAGGGACGAGGCTGGCGAGGCGGGGGGTTCCCACGGGGTCCTTGGCCCAGTAGTCAAGGTGACCTGGGGGCGTCCGCGCTGGAGCTAGGGAACGTCTGGCCCCAGCTCAGGTGAGGGAGTGATCCGTGCTCGGGAGTCCTGCTCTTAGCCTTTTCGCAGCCGTGGGGACCGTGGATGGCATTTTCCCAAAAGTAGTGTTGGTCAATGTACAAGATGTTCTAAGGACCCTAAGCTGGTGGGCAGGGGCCACGAGTCAAGGCGTTCTGAACCTACTGAGTGGGAGATGGGGTCTAGATTGGACCCTAAGTGTAAAGATAAATGAGGGCTTGAGGGTCATAGAATATTCCATAAGTACTGTTACTGCGACCAGAATGTTCTTAGCCCTGCTCCCAATAGCCCCATTGTTCAGCCAGGATTTTTTCCTGAATGAGGCATGTGATAGGGGCCCCCGTCTTTATGCTGCAGAGGTCAGACTTGATGTCTGTTGTTTGACAAAAATGATAACAAACGTTTGGCCCTTTAACTGTGATTACACAATCATTTAACACGAAGGAGTGGGGACCATTACTCCTATTCTATTAAAAAGCCTGGACTTAGAGAATAAAGCAACATGTGGGAAGTAATACAGCTAGTCAGGTGACAGAGCCAAGATGTAAACACCTCTTATTCTCCCTTCTTAAAGAGTGGTTAATAAATGCACTACTACAGCCCTGGCCGGTTTGGCTCAGCGGTTGGAGCCCTGACCTGCGGACCAGAGAGTCCTGGGTTTGGTTCCCGCTAGAGGCACGTACCACTAAATAAATGAATAAATAAATGCACTACTGATTACCTCATTGGTTGGAGTCCTTCGGGGAGCATGCCTGTTTTCTGTGGCCAAAAGAAATACAGTAACAAGGATGGTGTCATAAAAGGGCAGTTTTTCCAACCCTAAGTATCAATTTATTCAACAGTATTTATCCTGCCTACCCTGTCCCAAGTGCTACCCTAGGATCTGGGGACATAGCAATGAACAGCCCTGTCATCATAGAGTTCACATTACAGGGGAAACAACATACAGACATAAACATGTCAAATAGTACTAAGTGCTATGAAAAAAAATAAAGCAAAGTGATAATAGAGAAAATAAAATGACACGAGCACTGCTAAGAGAGTCACTAAAATAGGACCTGAGGCCACTGAGGAAGGGGGGCCCGTGCACACCTTGTGCCGCAGTTCTCTGAGCTGCTGTGAAGTTGCTAAACTCAATTCAAGGTTGTCACACACATCCTGAAACAACTGCTTCAGGGACACAAGGACTTGACCAGCTCCTTGTAGTTTTCACCTCCCTCATTTGCATATTGGAACCAATCAACCCCTAGCCAGCAATCCTTCATTTGCATGAAGGACTTGCACTTTGTGGTTTTTGCTTTTATAAACCCTGCTTTTCTTTGTTCTCTCCGCAGTCGAGCAGTTAACTGAATTTGCATCGATGGGAGTGTTGGTGCAGTCCTTTTGCTCAAGTAAATGCCTTTTGTTATTACAGTCTGAGCCTCTTTGGTTAATGAAGGGACAGAGTGCTTGTTCCTACACCCCAGCTTTTCTCCACAGTTGCCATCTATAGTCCTCAAGTTCCCAAACTAGAAATCACTTATGTTTCTCTCTTTAGAGAAGTAATAACATATTATTTGCTATGTTTCTCCAACAAGTTTCAAAGGACAGCTCTTTGGAGTGTTTGGGGAATACGGAAAGAAGACACAAGAAAGTGGCTGAAAATGAGAAATGATGAAACAAAAGGTATTGCTCATAGTCATTTTATTGAGATTTTATTCACAAAGGAAGTCCATGCATACACAGGAACACAACATCACTTCAGATCTCAGGAAGCAGCGACCATCTGATGGGTCTTTGTGGGAATAAAAAATAGGAGAAATCCAATAAAGAGACCAACTTATGATAGACAAAAGAAGGGCTAAGAAATGCATCTTTCTGGAACTAAATGGGGATAAAAGAAATCATTTTATCTTTTCAGGAATCATAAGATCACTGGGGAAAGAGAGGTGGGAAGAAACAATTCTTCAGAGAATTACTAGGGTCCAGAATGAATGAGTAGCATTAGAGAGCCACAGACAGAAGTGAGGAAACAGCTGTGTTTAGGTTTGCGCAAGTGGACACGGGATGATAATAACATCACGAGGTTGCCATTAATTGAATCAAAGCTACCACATTCCAGAAAACATGCCAGGCTCTTTATAGGATGATTCCTAGTCACTGCAGCAACCCTGAAAGGTAAGCATTATTATTCCAGTGTCGCAGAGGAGGACACTGAGGCTACAGGTTAAGTAGCTTGTCCTGGTTGCGCAGCTAACAAGTAGCAGGGTCAGGAGAGGGACCCAAGCCTGCCAGGCTCTTGAGTTAGGATGTTTTCTACATCCCTGCTTCTCCATGCTACAAATTTTACAGAGGGGTTGCGTGAAGGTGACTTGAGAGTGTTCAAGGTCCCAGGGAAGGTTAAAGAACAACAGGATTCAGGTCTGAGCGGAATACCTGTATTTCACAGGTGAATTACTGTGTACTGCCTCCTAGAATTTCTAGGGAATGGAAAGGAGAGTAGAATTAGGGTGGGAGGTGATTCTGATTTGGGGATTTTTTTGAGAAGGAGTCAGACCCTAGGGTTTGTCCTAGGCAGCAATCCGGTAATTGGGGTGGACCTGGGGCCTGACATCGCAGACCATACCAAGTAGCTGGGCCAGGACGCGTCCTCGGTTTTTCTGCTGGGAACTCTGCATGCCCTGCACTTGGTGCTTTGTAGCCTGCTCCACTTCTGCGGACAGGTTCCCCTGGGAGCCCATGGCCTGGGGGGTGACGAAGGGGTAGAAGAGAAAATGAAAGAAACAGAAACAGTGAAAAAAGGGTCCAGGCATGTGAAGGGAAAAATCCTGGTGTAAGGCCAGGGAGAAAGGCCCTCTCCAAAACCACCCATCCCACAGAAATATCCAGACACCAAGGAGAGCAACACAATCCCTTCCTCCAAAACCTGACATGCAACTTCACCCTAAAACAGATAGTACAATCCCCACCCTCACCACCCATGACCACTGAACTCTGCCCTCCACCCTAAATGTCATCATACTCCACAGACTGTGGCAATTCCCCACAAGCTTTTCAAGTCCTTCAAAACACTCAGACTCTCTTAAGTATCACATAGCTTGACCAGTGTCATGGTCCCCACCAGGATACCCTCTGTCCTTTACCATCTTATTTTCTTGTAGAATCACCCTGTACACACCTCACCAGATGCACCCACCAACATGCCATCCCCAACTCTCCCCAGACTCACCGCCTGCTGTTTGCTCTGGAATTCCAGTTCTCGTTCTCGGCGGTATTGTTCCACTTCCATCTGTGCCTCCTCCTTTGCCTGCTTCAGACGCCGGGCCTTTCCTGGAGAGAAAAGAAAGGACAGGAGGTTGGGGTAAACCCTCCACAAAATATAATAGTAGGGGTCAGTCCTTTCCAGAAAGTTGTTCTGCCTTCTCTTAGCCAACCAGGTGCTAGATTTTAATACCCATTTCTTCTTTCCTAATCAGCCACCCCCAGCCCCCAGTTCTCTGCTCACCAGGCTTGGGTTTTCCTAAGGACTCATAATGGTTGCTGTCCACCCACCCCGTTTTCTTTCCAGACTCCAAGGGAGGAAGGAGACGACTCACTCTTTCTGGCATCTGCCACCTTCTCAGCCGCTCGTTTTTCCGCTTGCAGGAGCTGCTGGATACCCTGGGATTGACTGGCCATTTCTGTCGTTATGGCAGATTCTGTTTCGGATGCTACCAAGGTACCAAATGCCCTTCCCCCCCACCCGCCTACTTCTCTTCCAGCTCGTTGCTGCAGTCCTCCATTACTCCTGGGTCTTAGTGCTCCCCTTTTCACTAAGCCTTCTGCACCGTGTGTCTCCCTAAAACTGATCCTCCCAATGATGGCTGGTCCTCATCTCCCACCTCTCTGGCAGTACCGAAAACGACCGCTTGGGGACAGCAGAGACCAGACCCAAAGCTGCCCACTAACTTCACAGCAGGTTCAAGGCTTTCCCAGCTTCTGAAGATCTAGGAATGGGGCAGGAGCTGAAAAGAGGGTATTCGGGAGAGAAGGAGGCATACAGGGGTTAAGAATGGGGTGAGAGGTAAGGAAGTCACCATGCCTGGTGCGTTGGAAGAAGAGTACACTGAACTTCTCTGGATTCTTTCAACATCTCCTCTCCTTTTTTCTTCTCCCTCTGTTGTAACCTGTCAGCAAGATAACCAGAGATGCACAGCGGAATTGTAAGGGAGCACTTTATTACACCAGCGGGCTGAAGGGGGGATCTCCCCAAATCGACAACCCTGAGCTTCCTTTGTTCTTTGCTTATATCGGAACAAAACACAGAAAAAAACAAACAAACAAACAAAAACTACATTAGAAAAACAGAAAAAGTTACATTCAAAGAAAAAAAACCTACATTCCTCCTGGTCTGCTTAATTGGTACCGGGGCTGATACAATATGCTCCAGAGGAGACGAGGGGTCGGTTGCAGGGGTTAGGGCCATCATTAATCTCTTTATTTTTATGGTCCCTTCAAGTTTCCCAAGACCATCATTAACTCCTTATCTTTACGGTTCTTCTGGGTGTCAGTCGCAGGTTTTTTAGAAAACTGTTCGGGTGTTTACGTGCAGGAATAACTGATCAGAATGGAGTTTGATTTTTAAAATAGCCCAGTTCACCTCCCTTTTCCATCTCTTCTACATCTTTCCCAAGTCCAAATTTCTGCAACCATCTCACTTGCCTTGTTCTACAATTGTTTCCTTATGTCTTTTCAGGCCTGTGTTTTCTCTTTATTGTTTTTTAGAGAGTGAGGAAGGGAGAGGGAGAGGGAGAGAGAGATAGAAACATTGATGAGAGAACATCAGTTGGCTGCCTCCTGTATGCCCCTCACTGGGGGTTTGGCCCACAACCTCGGCATGTGCCCTGACTGGGAATCGAACCAGTGACCTCTTCTTGGTGCGTAGGTCAATGCTCAACCACTGAGCCACACCAGCCAGGTTGTTTTCTCTTTTTGATCTGTCCCTGTTCTTGGCCTCAATGTGGTTTTGTTTTGTTAATAATTTTTTCTTTATTGATTTTAGAGAGGAAGGAAGGGAGAGGGAGAAAGAGATAGAAACATCAATGAGAGAGAACATTGATTGGCCGCCTCCTGACCAGGAATCGAACCGGCAACCTCTTGGTGAATGGGTTGACCCTCAGCCACTGAGCCACAACATCTGGGGCTTCACTGTGAATTTTATTTTGCCCTTATCTCTACTGTTTTTGCTCTTCCTCTCCTCATCTTTTTGGCTATCACTGAACCACTCCTCTCTCTTCCCAGCTGGGAGGCGGGGGTAAACTTCCAAATCGCTCTCCTTTATCCTCCCCGCCTCTGCTCCTGTTCCTCCTCGCCTATCCTCCAGTCTCAGGGTTCCAGGCAGACCCTTTATCTTGAGTTCCCTAGGTTTCCCCCGAGGCCAGATCGAGGAGACACACCTCCCCGCCCCCACGGCGCCGCCTGGAGGGGGAACGACTTTCGTAACGCGCCTTAGGTCATTTCCGCCCTCTACCTGCGTCTCAGCGGCGCCCTTTCCGGCGCCCTTTCCGCCAGCCTAGATTGTCTCTGCCTTCCGGCCTCGCCTTCCCAGAGCGGCCGAAACACCGGCGGCCCCGCTGCTGAGGGGCGCTTGGGGCGGGGCCAGGCCTGGTGAGTAGCCCCTCCCCCCAGGGCCCAGAGGGAGGAACCTTAACATCGGTCCTTCGGGCATAATATACTCAATTTCTAGATCATTATTTTAAATTGTTAGTGATATTTTTAAATTCAAATTTCTGTTGATAAAAATGACCCCCATCAGCCCCTATTCGTCTTTTTCAGAGTCCTTTGTTTAAAATGTACCTGGGTCAGTGAGCCACTAAACAGTAATTTGTCCTTTCCTCAACTTAAAAAGGTTAAATCTGTGACCCCAGCCCCCTTTGAATGTTTTCAGCCCTATCGTTTGTAAGGGGGCGGGTGAGATGTGAAAACCGGGGACCAAAGGGAGGAACGGAAGGAATGGCGGCGGGGTGGGGGGCGGCCAAGTCCGGGGTCCCGACTGAAGCCGTTTTCCCTGCGTCAGCCCGAGAGCTCCATGGCCTCCGCCGCCCGCCGCCGGCGCCGGGAGCGTCGCTTCCGCCGGTACTTGTCTGCAGGTCGGCTGGCCCGGGCCCGGGCCCTCCTCCAGCGACACCCGGGCCTCGACGTCGATGCTGGACGGCCCCCGCCACTGCACCGGGCCTGTGCCCGCCACGACGCCCCGGCCCTGTGCCTGCTGCTTCGGCTGGGCGCTGACCCTGCCCACCAGGACCGCCACGGAAACACGGCGCTGCACGCCGCCGCCCGCCAGGGCCCGGATGGTGAGTCGGCCTGTGGAGAATAAGGTCACCACAACCCACCTGGTCTGAGGCGAAGGCTGGCTGTTTGGTCCTGGCACTTAGGGAGGTAGTGGAGCAGGCTGGTATGTGGCAGTCGCTTGTGCTGTTACAATACTGAACTACCACTGTCGGAAGAGCCCAACACTCCCCAAACAGTAACTGCTCTTCAGGTTTCCAGTCTTTCTAGATTAGTAGCTACCTTGTCTCTTGAGTGGTTGGTTGCTTATAGCACAAAAAGTAGCATAGAGGGTTGGCATTAGAGTTAGATTGCCTGGGTTCAAATCCCAGCTCCATACTTAATAGCTGGGATTTCTTGGGCAAGTTACCAAATTCCCTGAGGCTTAGTTTGCCCATGTACAAAATTAAATAATGATAACCCTTGCTATGTGCCAGGCACTTCTCACAAAGTAACTCGTTTAATCCTCACCACAACCCTGTGAGGTTATAAGTACTAATATTATCCCGTTTCCCAGCTAAGGGTACAGCACAGAGAAGTTATTTGCCAAAACGGTAGAGCAGCGATTGTAACCCAGGCAGCCCAGCTGGGCCGTCATCCTGTGTGATACCTTACAGAATTGCTACAGAATCCTGCAGTGATAGTGCCTGTGCTCAAAGCCCCCATCTGGGGTAAGTGTTTTAAGAATCAAATGAAACAGTACACGTGATAAGTACTCAGTAGATACTGGCCATTGTTGTTCCTGTTGTTATCAGCAGACCCATACTCCCTTACCCATGATTCTGAAACTCAAAAACACTGAGAGCCAGACATATTTTATCAGTCTACCACCAAACTCATTTGATGGCAAAACCTAACCTGGACTAAAGTGAGGCTGCCTACGATTTGTTTTTATCAAACTTATGTCAATATTCAGAAACATTTATGTGTCTGGTTCCTAGGGCTGCCCAGACCATCCTGGGCTACCTAATACATAGTGTGTGTATTTTCAGATGAGCTCCATCAATTCCCAACATGGAAATCTGAAAACCCTCTGACAGCAGGTCCATGGGGCCTGCTGACACTGTAGTGCCGTGGAGGCAGCTCTGTAGAGGTATAGCCCTCAGGAAAATGAAAGGCAGAACCTCTTTCCCCTTCTGGATATTTTCCCTTCAAGAGTAGGAGCATTTGAGGAGAATCTCTAGGCTCATTCAATTTGCTGCTATTACCATCCCCGAGCTCCCCAAGTATAAGAACCCATCCCCACACCCACACCTCCCCCTTATAGTAAAATGTCCCCTATTCTTTAATTCCCCTTAACATAAGTGAGATAGGCTGGCACACTGGGATTTTTTTAAATTTAAAAACAGAGGAGGTTTACAAAGTGTACATGTCTAACCGAACAACCGACCTTGTAGGGAGCAAGAGCCAAGTACACTGAGGCAGGCCTGAGACCTCATCCAAGTTCCAGTTCAAGCACTAGGGCCATGGGCTGTATGACAGAGACTAGCAGTTCACCCTCTGTGAACCTAATTTGCCTCTAAAATGCAGGTTGTGAGTGTAAGAGGCAAGCACTTGGTGTAGTTTGGCACTAACTAGATGATAAGTAGTGTTATTTTTATTTTGATGTTATTTAATTAAGGCTATTTTAATAATAAAAATATTCCTTATCAGCCCTGGCCGGTTTGGCTCAGCGGTTGGAGCATTGGCCTGCGGACCAGAGAGTCCCAGGTTCGGTTCCTGCTGGGGGCACGTACCAAAAATATATATATATATTCCTCATCATATGGTAAGTGCTTCCTTCATTATATTGAATCCCAAGAAGCCTGCAAGATTGATATTCTGGAACTTTCTTCCAAAGGAGGATCAGCTTTCAGGTCACATCTAAGCCCTGTGGTCTTCTTAGGCCTTACTTTCTCCTGGTCCCTGCCAACCCTGTCACCAGGGGGCCTTCTAACTCCTTGGTAGAAAGGTCCATCTCCTTCCATTTCCAGCTGCTTTAGAAACCACTGTGCCTTAAAACGCAGATGAAATGATCTAGGATCCCCTGAGGAGGGGCATTCCCTTCAGCTCCCATGGTAGGCCAGAGGGATTTGCCTGTTCTGCTGGGTTGGCTGGGCTGTGTTATTACACCCAGTGAGATGTCGGTGAATGGCCCCTATCGTGGGTTTTTGGTAACCTCTCTTTGGACATATCACCTCATAGGGAAGTTGTCTCAGCTGTCAAAAACCCTTGTATAAACACACCTTAGTCAGACAATAACCGTTTTCTATGTACAGCAAGAATTAGCACTAAGAAACAGGGTCATTTTCTCACAGTCCGCAAAAAGAATAAAATGCAAAACCAACTGGATATATTTTTATTCTGACTGCAGGGCACTTCTGCTGTGTACCAGCGCAGCAGCTGACTTGACCTGCACAGCAGAAGTAGGCTGTGGACATGTTTACAGGTGGCTGAGCTATCCGGGCCATGTTCCTTTTGCCTTTCCAGCCTTACCTCCCACAGCACACCTACAAGCTGCAACTCCACAACGTGGCTCTGTCTTCAGTGCCCCCACTCAGCATGTTTTTCACAAGCCTGCATGTCTCTTGCCTATTGCTTTTCTGTCTGCCAGATTTCTACTTTGCTAAGTTATTCTCCCTTCCCAGCCCAACATAAGCCACCTCCTTCTGTAAGCCCTCTCGGACCACCCTGCCCACTATTACCTTTTCTTCCTCTGCCTGCCTCAGTCAGTTGTCCTCAATATAAGCTTCTGATAATGGTACCAGTTAGTATGAACTTTGCTTTAAGGTAGAAATCATCTTGTTATGGGGAGAAGAAAAGCAGTGTTTTTATCACTAAGACAAAGTCCATTTTTACTCCACAAAATTTTTTTTTGTATTTATTTTTCCCAATAGAAAAAATACCTTGGGAAAAGTTGATCTACACTGCTAAATTGATAAAGTTGGCTTTCCAACTGGAGGACGTTGAGCTATTTAATAAATGATATCGGACATTTGCTTCACCCACAGAATAATAGAGTCCTCCCTCATACCCTACGTAAAAGTAAGTTACAGCTGATTAAACACCTGCATATGACAGGAAGGGTATATACCAAATTCATGGGAGGGGGTTCCCCTGAGGGGAATAAAACTTAGAAGGCAGCATCAAAGAAAATTTTAGCTCTATCTATGATGGTTTTATTTAAAATAAAAAGATGTTGCAAAAATGGCAATATATTAACATACCTTGTGATAGGAATAGAGGTGCTTATTGTACTATACTTTGTACTTTTTTGAATTTTTTAGATTTCCAAAAATAAAAGTAACTGTAGTACAAAACACAAGGGAGTGGTTTTGTAATCTTGGAGTGTAGAAAACCTTCCTAAGAATGAAAGTCAAAGCTATTGATACAGATAAAAGTACATAAAACTTTTTAAATGGGAGAAAATATCTACAGTATATGTAACAGACACAGTTGATACCTGTACTATATTATAAAGAGCTGTCAACTCTATGTTATAATTTCCAAGGGAAAAGTAGATGAATATGAACAAATCATTCACAACAGAAACACAAAGAGCCGAAAAGCATATGAAAAAAGAAAATTTCATAACTAAAATATTTTTTAATCTGTCAGATGGGCCAAATAAAAAGGTTGATAAGCTTTAGTTTGGGTAAAGGACAACACAGGCACTCCTGTTTCCTTGGTAAGGGTTTGTGTTGGCACAAATGAGAGCAGTTTGGCAAAATCACACATGTTCTTTGACTCAGAAGTTCCACCGCTGAGAAACGACTCCGCAGAAACACCACAAGGAGTCTGTGTGTCTATATGTACAGAGCCGAACAGTTTGGAAACAAAGTCTGTCAACTGAGGGGGTGGGATGTGTTTGTTTTGTGCGCAGTGGAACACTACACACTCATAAAAAAGGAGGTCGACCACGCTCACTCCTGTGGAAAATATAAATGAGATGTTAAGTGAAAAGAACAAGTTGCCAAATAATATATATAGTATGGTCACATAGCTCTGAAAAAATTGTCACCCATGTGTGTGTTTATATGCCCTAGACAGGACTGGAAGGGACCGCAACAAAGTGTGAAGAGTGATTAAATGTATTCTTTACTCTTTAAGAGGAAAGGGAAATTTTACATTGCTATATCCCACTCACATTAAAAGATCAACTGAGCCCTGGCTGGTTTGGCTCAGTGGTTAGAGCGTTGGCCTGTAGTCCAGAGAGACCCAGGTTCGGTTCCCGCTAAGGGCACCTACCTCGGTTGCAGTTTGTCCCCGGCCCTGGTTGGTCGTGCGGGTGGCAGCCACTCGATGTGTCCCTTTCATGTCGATGTTTCTCTCTCTCTCTCTCTCTTCCTCTGTCTCCCACTCTATCTGAACAAAAAAAATAGAAAAATGTCCTCGGGTGAGGATAAAAAAGATAATAATAAAAGATCAACTGAGAGTGGGGAAGCCACCCACAGTCCTGCCCCCCAGAGACGGGCTGCACATCTCCCTGCTGCTGTTTCAGCCATAGATTCGGTCTCTGTTTTCATGCCATTACAGTCAGATCCCATGTAGTTTTGTAGCCAGCTTTTCCACACACAAACGTCATTTTTAGTGCCTATTTAATATCCTGTATCATATTTTACTTGTGTTTATAGTTGGAAGCCTTTCTCCTTAAAACCTGTGAACCTAAAAACTTCCCCTGCAAGCCTGAGCACCCACCCACCTCACGCCTGCCGTGAGCCCTGCGTGAGTGGAAGACAGGACCAGTTACTTGCTGTGTGAGACAAGTTGGGAGGGCTTGTGACAGGTCCTATCAGTACTGAGGAGAAGTGCCCCCTCCCCTCACCCTGGTGTGGTGTGGGCTGGGTAGCACTTGAGTGTGCCAGGAGATGTGGGGCAGTGGGCCTTTGCCAGCTAAGGCTGGGCGCGCTCTGCCCTACCTTCCTGGCAGTGACAGAACAGCCAGTCTTTTCCCAAACAGCCAGTACCTTCTAGTGCCACAGAATGAAGATCGAGGGACCACTGGCCCGTTTCCTCCTGCCCCAGGGAGAGAAAGTAGGTCCACAGGAAGAGAGTGTGCCTCACCTTCGGTCCCAAAAGTGAAAGAGGTGCTTGGTGGCCTGGGTTGGCAGTGAAGTGAGCACCACATGGCCACACTGGAGCGTATGCAATGAAGTCAGGACACAGGAAGGGGGGCTCAGGAATGGCAGCCCCTCTTCTGTGTCAATGGGCCCCTCCTTCTCAGTCCCTTTTCCCTCCACTAGGCCAACATTCATTTGGAAAGAGCTAGCTGGGCTGCTGGAAACATTTCTGTGGCTCAAACTCATTGCTGATCGGGCCCCTCTACCTCCCACCCCCTCTAAAGATACCTATTATATATTTGTACATTTATAGTGGCAGAGTAGAATGTTCATATATTTCTACTAGTCTGAAGTATAATGTGGGTTGAGAAACCCAACAGGAGGTATAAAATGACAATGTTTTCAAGCAGAAAATGGAATACATAGAGGTTTTAGACATTGCCCTGGGTGGCTGGAGGCAGGCTGGAAAATGTCATTTGACATAGCAGAACTCCCTGGACAGTGAAATCGTTTGTGGGGACACAGGTCAGGACATTTTAAACTGGTAAACTCAGTAAATGTCTGTCCGATCCCCGTGGGCAGAGAGGGCGAGAGTGGCCTCAGGATCCCAGGTGGCGCCCTGTGGGGGCCCAGCTGACTCCTTGCACTGCTCTCACACCTACAGCCTACACAGACTTCTTCCTGCCGCTGTTGAGTCGCTGTCCCTCTGCCATGGGAATAAAGAATAAGGATGGGGAGACCCCTGGGCAAATTCTGGGCTGGGGACCCCCCTGGGATTCTGCTGAAGAAGAGGAAGAAGATGAGGCGTCCAGAGAGCGCGAGTGGAGGCAGAAGCTTCAGGGAGAGCTCGAGGACGAGTGGCAGGAGGTCGCGGGGCGGCTGGAAGGTGAGGGGCCAATTCCCACCCACAGCAGCCCTTCCCCACAGGCTGCTTTTCCTCCACCCCGCCCTCTTTACCGCCCTGCTGCTCTTGCCCTGTGACCTGATGGCCTCTCCCCGACACCCCCGTCCTGCCCTCCCATACAGATGATGCTTCCTATGAGACCCAGGAACCTGAGTCCTTCTCAGCCTGGTCAGACCGCCTAGCCCAGGAACATGCTCAGAAGTGCCAGCAGCAGCATAAGGCAAAGGGAGCCTTCCAGCCCCTACGGACCAAGGGCTCCAGTCTCAGCTGGCAGCGGCAGGAGGAGGAGCAGCGGCTTTTCCGAGAGCGAGCCAGAGCCAAGGAGCAAGAACTGCGGGAGAGTCGAGCCAGGCGGGCACAGGAGCGGGCACCAGAGGCTCACAGGGACCCAGAGCCCAGGACCCAGCACTCCAAAGGAGCGGGGAGGAGCGGCCTGTGGTGCTTCAGCGATGTGCCCTGGCCCTGCCCTGGAGGAGGAGACCCGGAGGCCATGGCTGCAGCCCTGGTGGCCAGGGGCCCCCCCTTGGAGGAGCAGGGGGCTCTGAGGAGGTACTTGAGGGTCCAGCAGGTTTGCTGGCACCCTGACCGCTTCCTACAGCGATTCCGAAGCCAGATTGAGACCTGGGAGCTGGGTCGCGTGATGGGAGCTGTGACAGCCCTTTCTCAGGCCTTGAATCGCCATGCGGAGGCTCTCAAGTAACCTCAGGGAAACAAGGAGAAACTGTAGGGAACGCAGCCTTCGGGGCAGGGCACCGTCAGAGATGGGGATGACGAGGACCAGGCCGATGCTACGCAGCAGAGGATGTGGGGTGGAAACACAACATGCAGTGAGCGGGGGAGGACAGGCCACCACCACTGCTCCTCGACTGCCATTTCCTAATAAGACCTAGTTCCACATCTCACTCCCAGTAGCTCCTCTGCCTTTTTCCATCGCTGTGGTTTTCATCACCCACAACATCTCCTTTCCCGCCCTCTTGCCAAAACCCATGGCTCCCACACACCTGAGACACGCACACACACTAGTCCGTGCCCTCAACTAGAGATGAGAAGCCCCTGCTGGCCCACCCGAAGGGTTGGTCCTGAGAAGGCCCAGTTTGCCCTCCAGTCTCATTTTATTTGCTATACCAGGCTCCCCTGGGCAATCAGCAGCCAGAGAGATAAATGTGAACAGTAGCAAAAAAAAGGAACAAGACCAGTTCTCCCCTCCCCAGCTCCCCAACCAGAACCACATCCTCCTCCCCACTAGCACCCCTCCTCTAGCACAGACAGGGCTTTCCCTTTGCTGAGTCACTGAATGGTCCAAGTTGGGGGCAGCTGGAGCTTGGGGACCATAAGGAGGTTGTGGGAGGTCAGAGGATAGAAGCAGAATGGATGAAGGAAGAGCCCTGTGGGGAGGTGGAATTTCGGTTGCTAAAATTAGCAGGGGAAGTAGCCGGAAAGAGCCAAATGATGTAACCTGGATTGTCTGTTCTTGGGCAACCAGGAGTCCACACCCCGGGGAAGAGTTAAGTAAAACGGAGTCACTACAGTCAGGCAGCTACATTACTAAAGTCAAGTAGGTTGAGGCCTGAAGAAGCGGTTCTGTTCTCATTTTAACCAGCCCGGGAACTTAAACTTCTGAACTTTCCAGTCCTATGTCCGTGCCTGGACATTCTCCTGATTATTCCTGAAGGACTCGTGTATCCATTAACCCGACATCCATTGCCCAGACCTCTGGATGTGACCAGACCTCTTGGTGCTCATCTAGACCACCTGACATCTGGTTAATAACCATCCTGGATCAATCCTAGGGCTAAGGCTACAGGACTGATAATTCTTAAGAATGCACTTTTTACTATAAAAACTCTAACTTTTCTTCTTCAGAAACACTTCTGGGTTATTGCCTAGTTATGTTTCCAGTTTGCAAACCTGTGAATAAATCTCTATCATGTATTTCTAGCCAAAGCCTCCAAATACTGAGTTTGTTCAACAGCCTCAATTCTCTGTTCCCTCCATATAGCTTCTGCCCCCATCCCAAGCCTGGGTTCCATCACTGGGAAGCCAGGCCTGCCTTCCAGATAAATGTCCTGAGAGACGGAGGGAGAAGGCCTGGAATTGCCATGAAGAACTGAGGGGTGCCATCCCTCCCACTCTTCATACTCGGCTGTCCCTCCAGCATCCTGGACTGGGGTAGGAAGTTATAGGTGGTACCAAACCTCACCGCCCTTCGCCTGGGCACAGCAGCAAAGTTGGTGAAAGGGCAGGGCCCTGGCCGGTGTGGCTCAGAGGTTAGAGTGTCAGCCTGTGGACCAGAGGGTTGTGGGTTTGATTCTCAGTCAAGGGCACATATCTGGGTTGCAGTTCAATCCCCAGTCCTGGTTGAGATCAGGAGGCGACCAATCTTTGTGTCTCTCCAATCAGTGTTCCTCCCTCCCTCCCTTCCTCTCTCTGAAAATTAATGGAAAAATATCCTCGGGTAAGGATTAACAAAAAAAAGAGGGCAGGACAAAGAACAGGCATGAACTGTTATGAGCAGTCTACACTTGTCTACATCAGAGAAGTTTATGAATCAGAAACTTATTTTTCAGAGTGGGAGCTCCAGTCTCCTCGGGAGAAGCCCAGGAGTAGGAGAGGAGGGCCTTGGAGGACACAGGAACGGGACATGGGAACGTGGGGTGAGCAAGAGACCCTCAGGGAAGACAGCCAAGAGGCCCCAGGCCCCTGCAACCCCGGCCAGATGTTTGGGCAGGAGGAAGGGCTGCTGAGAAAGCCTGTGAGAGGAAGCTGCTGTGATTCAGAGAAGAGCCTGAGCTGTGAGCAACCCAGGCGTCCGGTTCCTCTCACAGGCCAGAGATTTCGGAAGTGGCATGCAAAGAGCTCAGCTTGGGGGGAGGGGAGGATCCCAAGCTGGGGGTTGACAGGTAAGCATCAGAGAACTTTGGTGTCCAAATTTGCTCCCCATCTCACATTTCTCTGATTTTAAGCACATGGCTTCCCCTTTGCGAGAGTTACATGAAACTATAGCAAAAAAAGCCCTGATTCCTGCCCCCCACATCTCCCTCTTCCCGGTGTCCCTCCCTGGTGTCGGCCCCCAGCCCTGTTGGGGGTTCCCCTGAGATGAGGGCTGTTCACTTTCTCTGACCACACGATTTCCGCTTCTGTGTCTCTTTTTCCTAGGCTGATAAAAATACTGAGCCCTAGAGGCCCTGGCTTCCTCTGACCCCCTGGGGCCAGGCAGCAAGCATCCTGTCCACCACCCTGGGGGCAGGGAGGGGGCCCAGGGATCCCCAAGGGGTGACTCAGTGCACCATGAAGTGGGAGAGTGCATGTCCTCTAGAGTTGGAGCGAGGAATTGGTTCTCAGTAGAGGATGTCTGGGTTTCAATGAGAGAAACCAGATTGGGAACAAGACTGGTGAGGTTGAAGGGGGCCAGTATGGGGTTTGGGGTCCGGTCAGGTCTGGGTTAAGTTAGGAAAAGGACCCAAAGGGACTCTTTTTTTTTTTTTTCTTTTTTTTTTTTTTTTTTTTATCCTCACCCAAGGATATTTTTCCATTTTTCGTACAGATAGAGTGGGAGGGAGAGAGAGAGAGAAACATCGACGTGAAGGAACACATCGAGTGGCTGCCACCCGCACGACCAACCAGGGCCGGGGACAAACTGCAACCGAAGTACGTGCCCTTAGCGGGAACCGAACCCCGGTCTCTCCGGACCGCAGGCCGACGCTCTAACCGCTGAGCCAAACTGGCCAGGGCCCAAAGGGACTCTTGAACCATGGATCGAGTGGCCCAAAGATAAATTCAAACTGTGCTTCAAGTTTACAGCCCATGGGGAAGGCAGGCCCATACCCACCGAGGACGCTAGGCCTGCCGGTAAAGGTGGCGTGGTGGAGGCAGAAGAGGGGTCTCTAGCCCGGCTGGTGTGGCTCAGTGGTTGAGTGTTGACCCTACACCAAGAGGTCGCCAGTTCGAGTCCCAGCCAGGGCACATGTCCAGGTGGTGGGCCCCATCCCCAGTGGGGGGCATGCAGGGGACAGCCAATCGATGTCCTCTCTCTCTCTAAAAAAATTAATAAAGAAAATCCTCACCCGAGGATATTGTTTTATTTCTCTTCAGAAAGAGTTCGAGGGTGGGGGAGGGAGGGAGGGAGGAAGAGAGGGGGAGAGAGTAAGAGAGAGAGAGAGACACCATGGATGGAAGGCTCCGTAGATAAGTGAAATGTCTTGATCAAAGGCAGGGAGCCAGGGAAACATTCCAAGTATGTTAAGGAAAAGAGTCCAAGTGACCAAGTGCGAGTGTGAGTGAGCATGTCCTGGAGGAGGTGTGCAGCCTGCCAAGGGAGGCCTCAGGCTTCCTCCTGGGCCTCGGCGCTGCGCACGTGCGGGAGGGCGCTGCCGCGCAGGCACCAGGAAGAAGCAGGATGTTTTGAACACCTGTGTGTGACCAGGTCAGGCTCCTTTCCTGACATTGGTCATCCTGCCAACAACTGTCCGGGAGGTGGGGGTGGGTCTCCATTGTACAGATGAGGACACGGTGTCGCATAAACGTCCTGTAACTTGCTGAAGGCCACACAGCTAAAGAATAATGGAATCATCACTAAACTCATCTTTAAGACTTGTGTACTTACTCCATAGGTCCCAACAACCCCAAATGGCATTAGAAGAGGGAACAGCCCTGGCTGGTTTGGCTCAGTGGTTAGAGAATCAGCCCACAGATCAAAGAGCCGCGGGTTTGATTCTGGTCAAAGGCAGGTACCTCAGTTGGGGTTCAGTCCCTGCCCTGGTCGGGGTCGTAAGGGAGGCAACCAGTCAATGCATCTCTCTCACATCGATGTTTCTCTCTCTCTCTCTCTCTCTCTCTCTCACTCTCTCCCCCACTCTCAAACTCTGTCTGAACATAAATTTAAAAATATCCTCGGGTGAGGATTTTATTTATTTATTTATTTTCTTTATTAATTTTTTAGAGAGAGAGAGAGAGAGAAACATCAATGAGAGAACATCGATTGGCTGTCCCCTACACGCCCCCCACTGGGGATTTGGCCCACAACCTGTGCATGCACCCTGACTGGGAATCAAACTGGCGACCTCTTGGTGCATGGGTCCACACTCAACTACCGAGCCACACCAGGCTTGGGTGAGGTTTGTTTTTTTTAACAAAAGAGGGAACAGATTTTATAAACTTCGAGGAGATAAGTCAAGACAACTGATTGGCTGGTGGGAGTGAGGGAGCCTTAGATGACTCCAAGTTTGGGCCTAGGGGATTGGAAAGGTGATGATGCCCTAAATCAAGGGGGTGCATGGCCGTGGGGAAAGGTAGGGGTTCATGTCAGACATTCAGTCGGCAGCGACAGGAGCAAGGTGCTCTGCTAAACGGGGTACGAGTCACTGCCCTCGGCACTTGCCATCTAATAAAACACACTGCACAAGTGTACACGTAGCAACTACATGTAATCTTGGGAGATGCACCTGCTTAGAGTAACAAAGTGCTCGGAGGCCTGTGGCACTGGAGATGCCAGCACACCCTGCAGGTGGAGATTTCCAGGTGTGGAGCTCCGGAGGGGCCTGTGGGCCGGAGGGATGGATTCGGGTATCACTTCTCCCTGTGGAGGTTGAACCTCAGAGTAGACAGGATTCCCAAGAGAGAAGATGAGAAGAGCCCTGAGGATGGTCGAAGGAAGAGGAGCCGATAAAATGAGAGGCGAGGCATCAGTCAGAAGTAGGCGAGGGAGCGCCGTGCCGAGAGGCCACATCTGATGCTTCAAAGAGGTCGGGTAGGTGAGGGTTGAAAAGATCCTTTAGGTTCAGAAACTAGATGATTACAAATTTCGAGAAGACGGTTTCCACTTACCAGAGAGCCAGAAAGCACTTTACAAAGGCTGAGGAATGAGTAGGAGGTGAGGAAAGGGAGGTGGTACAAAGTCATAGAATGGTGGCTACGGGAGAAACTAAGAATTGTCTCTAGTTCAACCCACAGATTTTACAGATGAGGAAAATTTTACCGGTTCCCGAAAAAGTGGTTAGTAAAAGCGGTTAGTCTCTTGAGACATCACACAGAAGCAACAGGCATTTCAGGGGAAAAGAGTCAGGGAAGGATTTTTTATTTTCAAGAAAAAAATATCCTTGAATTTGTAAAGTGAAGGGAAGAGGCAAGACAAGAGAAAGATACTGAAAACATAAGAAAGGGGAGAAAGAATCCAGAAAAAAAGTGGGATTCAAGGTACAAAGGATCAGGAGAAAGAGGACTTCCCTGAGTGAAGAAGAAAGGAAAGATGGAACATACAGAGAAAAGAAAGAAGTCAGGAGCTCGGCCCTGGATGGCCGTAGCTCAGTACCGCAGGTGACAGCATCACCAAGCGAGAGGGAGAGGCAGGGCAGAGCGCAGAGGTGTGGCGGCTCACCACGGAACACAGGCTCTGAGGACAGGTGGTCAGGAGTCATGGCCTCTTACGGCGACATGACTCCTCCATGTTTGGCAGTCTAGAAGAGAGAGTCGGAAAGGACACTATCAGGTGTACCCAAATCAAGTTTTTCAAGGTCCTGGTAGAACATCAGGTAGGTAAGCGATTACAGAGTCGAAGCACTAGGAGGCCAGAGTATAGGACTCATCTTTGTGGTCTTGATGCCTCTAAAGATGGTGGTAAGGATGAGATGGAAAAGAACTGAGCTGGATATACAAGTTGTTGAGAGCGGGATAGAGATGTTGGGGAAGACTGCTGTGCAGACAGGAAGGGCATGGGTCTGAGAGGAGGAGGAGGTTGCCAGAGGTGCAGGCGGAGGGGGACCATGGCCTGTCCTCTGCAGGCTTCGCCAGAGACAGAAGGAGCACCGTTAGGAGAAATCCAGGTTTCTAACTGCCAGAGGAGGGTGCTTTCGAAAGTGAAATAGAGGACTCAGTTAGAAGGGGTCCACAGAATGTCGTGAAGTGGATCAGTGAACGTGTCCTTGTGCAGTAGGGAATCACACCCAGGGAGGAGCCCCAGCGAGTTCGGGAGAAGACAAAGCCTGGATGCGTTGCCTCTAGAAGCAGGCGGTGGCTGCTTCTGCAATTCCAGGGGGGGTTCGCAGCATTCATCATGTGGGACAGCACCTCAGGGCTCCGGGGCACAGCTTTGAACCCCACTTCATGCTGACAGGGCCGTGCTGTCTCTCGCTCTGCCCTGGCTTGTGGGATCCAGACTCACGTCCAGCTGCCAAGTGACAGCTCCACTTGGATGTTTGTCCCCTAGATTTGGACGTAACACAGCCTAGTGTGAACTTTCGGTCTCCACCCGAGCAGAATTCTGCGTCTCTCCCAGTCTCCCCATCTTCACGCCCACCCGCCATCCATTCAATCCATCATCTAGTC